TGACTGTATTGGGGCGGGGGGGCGAGTGAGGAAAAGAAGGAGGTCCAGAAGTCGGTGTTGGATTCCATGATGGGGGTGAGGGTTGGGCCGGGGGTTTTTGGGTTTTTGCGGGAGATTGTGGTGACGGGGACGGAGGAGGAGAGGAGGGTGGAGAGGATGTGGGAGCCTACTAGGCCTGTTGAGCCGATTAGGAGTGTTGGTTGTTGGGACATTTTGTGGTGGTGAGGTGGTGAGGTGATATCAGGTCTCCCGGATTATTGTGGTGAGGAAGAGACGTTTAAATAGGCGTCGGACAGATACGCAACGAGGGACGAGGGAGTCACGGCAGTCCACGGTGCACCACGGAGCTCTTGATTGATGGACGCTGGAAACGGCCAGAACAAATGCGAGCCCCTGTCGTCGCACTGTTAACCGATGCCGTCATTGCGTCTTGGTATCTTCGACTCTCAGCCGAGCTGTCATGGCAGCAAATTGAAGGAATTCGGGATAATGACAGTGAACAGAGATTCGGGATAATATATTACATGGCCGGCGCAATCAAGATCTTTAAACCCGTCTCAACCACGGGCTAAACCTGAATCCAAGTACAAGTCCGGTGGCACAAGATCAGCCACACCCAACCCTAACCCAGAACAGATCCATCAAGGTGCTGTCGCAAACTGAGAAAACTGGCGGGGCAACCCGCAGCAGTGCGCAAGTAAACTTGGGCGCTCCAAAGAAAAAAAATCCTAGAGGGAACCCCTCCATGAACCAGCATACAACTATCACCACCACCATCACCACCACCACCGCCGCTAATTCCCGTCATATCAACTTCTCCCCGCTTCTTCCCAGAGTCGCACATTCTTTCTTCACATCAAAATTACCTAAAATGGAGGCCCCATCACCAGGTACTTACCGTCCCCCCTCCTTTGCGTACCAGATGCTAACTCCCCCCCAGCGCAAACCCAAACCACCTTCGAGCGCGGCATCTCCCTCCTCCTCAACCTCTGGCCAGCCCTCACCCTCGCCGTGCAAAACCACTGGGGCGGCCCCGACTCCTCCGACAAACGCGACTGGTTCGCCGGCGCCGTCTCCGAGCTCTTCCCCCCCCTTACTACCTCCACCTCCACCTCCCGCTCTGCCCCCTCAGAAGAACCAGACGCCGAATACATTGAAGAATTCCTCCTCAACGTCATGCTCGACGAGTTCGAAGTCAACGTCGACGACGACTCCGCCTTCGAGGTAGCCGAGAGCATCATCAGGATCAGGAAGGACTGTCTAAAGGGCAAGTTTGACGAGGTGGAGCAGCTGGGGAGGCGGTACACCGAAAAGAAGGGGAGTAAAGTGGTTTTTGCAAAGGGGGAGGACCAAGAGGAAGAAGGGGAGTGGGATACGGATGATGATGAGGAGGAGGATGAGGATATGGAGGATGCGCCTGCGTTGGTGCAGGCTCCAAGAAGGGAAAAGCAGGAGCCCGAGGTGGATGAGGATGGGTTTCAGACTGTCACGAGGAAGAAGAGGTAATGGTAATGGGGTGGAAGGGGAAAAAAAAAAAAAAAGGGGGGGGGGGGGGGTGCCCAAAGAGGGAGGGGTGAAATAAAAAGCGAGATACCCAGTTAAGAACCTCTGTGAAGGTCTGCTCCAAGGGGGTTGCTATGGAAAAGAGAGCTTCCAAACGTTGAAGAAACTATAACAGAATTTCCGGACAGGCAACAAAATATTCTGGCCCCTTGATGTTGCAGAGTGAAAATACCCATTATAAACTCCGCCGACTAGCAAAGCGATAAACCCAAAAGTTATTCAACAAATCAAACGCCGTCCATCCATGTTTCCTGCTGTGACATCTCTCAAATGCTGACTCCCAATCTGGCTTCCTACTCCCAATCCTCCTCATCACTGCCATCACTGTCATCGAGCTTCTTCGCGTCCTTGGGACTGTTGGGCGCCTGACTGGGTACACCAGACGCGGCGCCGACAACATCGTAGCTGGTGTCACTATCCGCCATCGATTTCCTGTCGTCAGACTTGCGAGGCTCTGCCGGCTTGGCAGCAGTGGTAGTAGGGTTAATCGTGGAGGCAGAGTTTGAAGAACCAGGGCGCTTGGCCTCAGCAGTAGGCACAGGTTTGGCAATGGCGGGTTTGGCGGGGGCCGACTCCTCCTCATCACTGGACTCCTCCTCGCTGGAATCCTCCTCCTCTTCTTCTTCTTCGGAAGAGTCCTCGTCCCAGCCAACTTCCTCTTCAGCCGAGGCAGCTGGGTCATGTTAGCATAGGTACAAGTTTCCAAGTGGACAGGTGGGCTCATAATCTTACCCTTGAGCAAGTCCCTACGCCTGGCCTCAGCAGTCTCAATACCGTGTCTGAGGAAGTAGTACCTCTTCCAGAAATCCGCATAGGGAACCGTGTCGGGAACCAGCTTCTCCATTGTCGTTCTCAACTCGGGGTACTTGGCGAGATCAGCAGCGATGTCCTCCGTCTTCTTATCGACATCAAACTCCTTGGCCCAGGTCTCATACTCGGCGCCAGTGCCATCCTTGATGAAGTTGTCCGTGGTGGTGTGGATGACGTGAAGCTGCGCATCGAACCGCGAGGTGTGGATCACCCTCTTCCCAGCGGCATCCTTGCTCTCGAACAAAACGGTGTTGCCCTGGTTGTCTCCCTGATCGTTGGTGGGTGGTGCGATTTGGATGGCGTCGCGGAAGAAGTCGCGGAGGTTGGAACCGAACCTGAGGAGAGCTTCGTCGGCGGCGTCTTCGGCTTTCTGGAGATCCTTTAGGCGTTTGGCGGCTTCTTCTTTGAGACGGGTGAGTACGGATTCGGATTCGGCGAGGGCTTCTTCTGATGAGAGGGCTTTGGCGCGGGTGGGGGTGGTCTGGTCGCCCGTGTCCTGAGAGGAGGAACCGGCGTCGGCTGGTGGTGAGGTGTTCAAGGAGAGCGATCGGGTGCGGTTGATGATAGTCTGGCGCAGGTCGGTGAAGCCGCGGGTCGCATCTTGGCTTACGGCGGAGAGCTCTTGCTGGGCTTCATGATAGATAGTCTCACCCTGGGAACAAACACCGTCAGTCGAGCTATGCCGAGGTTGACCACCCGAGAGAGAGAAACACACACCTGCTTCACCACGCTACCAAAGAAACCTCCAATCCTAGCGCCCCAAGGACTGTTGGAAAAGGCGCGGTAAGCATCCTGGAGATCCTCGTTCAAGCTCGCCTGTGGAGCGGCGGGCTGGTTCTGTCTGTTCTGGGACTCGCTCTTGTCCTCGAAGTTGGACTCGAGGATGTGGTCGTATGCGATGTCCATGAGGGACTGTACGTGGGGGTTATCGTTGAGATTACTGGATCTGATATGCTACCAAGTGGTCACTTTTGCTAGAGGTGGTTGGTCTTGGATATGGCTGGCCGGCAAGTGATTGCTCTGTCGTCACCTGGCGTTACACAAGGCTGATGGCATGATGTCGCCAATCCCACTGCCGTGAGCGGATGGAGCGGGCACAAACTGCGCGCGGGGCTCCGCTGCTTGCGCCTAAAACGGGGGACAAGCTGCACGGGCCCTCCACTACACTGTCATCGCCACGCATGCGTCCAGGCCATCCAGACCTTTACACTAGAGAGCGGAGATGTATATATTCCTGCAGTGAAGTGGGACTATTAGGTCGATGGATGTACAACTGACACTTGATATCGGAAACATACCCCAGATGAGATGCTTCATGGTAGCTCGCGGCATATCGACATATTGCACAAGGACTTATGCCTCGGTCATGAATATTATCTCCGAGGCTTTCTACTGTAGGAACCAGGTCATGCGGTGAGAACAGCTGCCTGGAGATAATGATTCAGAAACAATCAGTTCCACTTCCCCTTTTATCGAATAGTCACCCGTGTCGCTTGAAAGGCGCAGGCAGTCCTCTATGCCCACATACCCCTCGGTCCTATGAGACAGCGCTGTTGGCTTGACTCAGCACCTTGTAACATGCTCGTCGCTACCAACAGAACCGGATATTAAACGGCCAGAGGTAAATCTATGGCATCTAGAATCCCATCACCCAAAATGCAAAAATGGCGTGTGCTTGCTGATCTCTTGTCTATTGTCCGTTGTCTGCACGGGTCTACCGCAGTAGGGTCCCCAAGATAGAGGGGCTGGGCTGACCACCCACAACCCGTTCAGGGTCAACAAGGTGGGGCAATCATGGCCGACCCTGGGCCGCTGTTGAAGAAGACCGCACGCCGAAGGACCCCTGTCGGTTCGCGCTCGCTCGGACCAGCTTCCGTCCAACATCTTCCATTGACGGCTGACAAATTGATGGAGCTCACCAGACCAAGGGCCCCCTCGACCTGTAGTCTTGCTCCCAGTTTCGCCCATCGGTCTGACTCTTCGTCCTTTTTCTCGTTTCTCCCATCCGTAGAAAGTCCTTACGTACTCGTACATACCATACCATACATACCGAGATACTGCTGCCAGCTGTCCATCCAATTCCAGTCCAGGCATCCAGAAGAACACGGCGAGGCAAGCATTCGAGTTCCGCCGACTCCGATTCCCGACCCGTTTTCCACTGCCCTGCTGCTGCGAGCCCTGCGTCGCACTCGAGTGGCCTGCGCCTAAACCTCTTCCCCCAATCCCGGGAGGCGAACTCTATGGTCTCTCCTCGTCGTGGCCCCGACCTGTCCCAGACACCCCATCTCCATCTTTTACGCCGTCTGTCACCAAGGGTTCAGTGATTCATCAATCTGAACCAGCCTTTAGACTAGTGGAGAGACACTCTGCGCTGTCCCTGCGCTCGTCTTTGTCTTCAACGTCAGATACCCCGCTGTCCGCCGTTGGGTGTGGGCGGAGATAAGCAGCCCAATCATCACTGCTCCCGCCACCTACGTCTCCGACAGCAATCGCATTTGACATTGGGCCCTGTCTAATCTGAACTTCTCGAGGGAAAGGCCCAAGTCTTAATTTTCTTCAATTAGTTGTCCAAAACGTCACGCGAGTCAAGCAGACACAATGACGTCGACACGCAATCCCGTTCAGGACCTCATCCTCACGCCGCAACAGCAGAACCTGTTGTATGCCGCCCTCAATTCCAACCGCAAAGGAAACACTCCGGTGAATTCGGCCATGACCGTGTCTCCTCTCCAGTTCAATGGGTCTCCGCTTCAGGAAAACTTCGGTAGCTTCCAAGGCAGCCCCGACTTCGATTACGACTACGATTTCGCCGGGGCCGATTCAACTCTCGACTTCTCCTTCAATGACGGCAATCAGCCCAAGATGATTCCCGACCTGCCCGGTACTTCAGATGGAGGCAAGTCCGAATCTCCCGACGACACAGAGTCTCCCGACAAGCGCAGCCATCCAGACGATGAAGAGGATGAAGCCCGTGGAGCCAAGAGGCGAGAGAGTGAGGATAGGGTTGCCAAGAAGCCGGGAAGAAAGCCATTGACGACAGAACCAAGCTCAGTAAGTAAATACAACCCCTGAGCGAACCACGTTGGATTCTGACCGTTTCGCAACAGAAGCGCAAGGCCCAGAACCGCGCTGCCCAACGGGCTTTCAGAGAGCGCAAGGAAAAGCATCTGAAAGAGTTGGAAACCAAGGTCGAGGAGTTGGAGAAGGCCTCTGAAACCCACAACAAGGAGAAGCAGGCTCTCCGCGCGCAGGTCGACAAGATGACGGTTGAGTTGAACGAATATAAAAAGCGTCTGTCAGCTCTCTCAAACGGTCGCCCAAGTTACCAAGGACCCACGAAGCTATTCGGCGCTCCTTTCCTTCAAAACATGAACGATGTCAACTTTCAATTCGAGTTTCCCAAGTTCGGCACCCTGCCTGGGCCCAATGTTACCAATGACACCAAGAAGTCCTCCACATCGACCGCAGCATCAATACCGCCGAAGCGGAACAATTCAGATACACGGAGCCCGTTGGACAAGTCGAATAGCGGCTTCAGCCCTGATCACTCGAGCACATACAGCCCCCTCGGCCTGAACTCGCACAATCTGGACTCGCAGTTCAACTTGAACGGCCCGACAACGACAAGCTCGCCGTCAGCCTCATCAAATTCCAACATGGGTGGGCCGAACTCGTCGTGCGGGACATCACCCGAACCGTTTACGCAGTCGCCCATGGGCTTCAAACCCGTGGACACGCTGGCCACCATCGGGGAGGAGCAGTCTGGTTTCAACGTGAACGGCTCATCACAGGGTGAGAATTGCAGTGCAATATCGCGGTTTTCGGTTCGATAATGCTGACAAGCTTGCAGACTTTGGTCATTTCGGTGATGCAAATGACTTCAACTGGCTGCCCCAGACAGACTTTCAGTTTGAGCCTCAGTTGTTTGGGGACTATCGCGAGCCACAGGAGAACATCCTGTCTAATGGCTTCGATGACAGTTTCTTCAACGACGCCCTTGATGCCGACTTCATCACCCCATACAACCTGCCACTAACCACCGAAGTACCAGCGCCAAAGCCCGACCTCCTCGCCCAAATCGATGCCGCCAAAGAAGCCGATCAAGTTACGCCCAATGGACAGCTACTGACCTGCACCAGTATATGGTGAGTTACATGCAACTCCTGCTTCAGTGACGGGGGTAACTGACAGGCAAAACAGGGAGAAACTGCAAACGTGTCCCAAGGTGCAAAACGGCGACTTTGATCTGGATGGCTTGTGCTCGGACCTTCAGAAGAAGGCCAAGTGCTCCGGCGGCGGCGCTGTCGTGGCTAAGGAGGATTTTGAGCAGGTCATGAACAAGTATCTACCTTGCAAAGACAGGGCCGGGCAGGCTGATCTCGAGGCGGCTGTGAAGGAGGCGACGGGCAGCACCAAGATTTGATTCGGCATTGTTAGACGTCGATGTATACCACAGCTGTACAACACCAATCACCACCCGGCAGATAAAAAGCAGGCGGCTGTTGGCCCAGAGAGGCCGGGGCGGTTCGGAACCACAGGTTTAGCGAATGCACCTAATCAAGAGGAGGAAAGACGGGAAATTGGGAGGAAGGTTTATAGGGGAAGGAAAGGGAATATCAATGAGGGTTTTAAGGCAAGGAGTTTTTACAAGATATACCACACCAGACGGGGCCATCTGAATGTGAAAAAAAGGGGCACGTCGTTTATTTGATGTTTTATTTCTTTGGCCAGATATGGGTGGAATAGGGAATGGCGCTTATTTAGTTTTTTACTATCTGGGGTTCTTGACTGGGAGAATCTCATCTATTTATTGTTGATTTGTTTGGGGGTTTTGATGTTACTGATTTGTCTCGCATCGTGCGTTGGTTTTGAGGTTTAATGATGTATGATCAGGTCAATAGTTTGAAGATGATGTATTGGGAAAGTTTGGTATACCTGCTGTGATGGAAATGAGTGCGTGAGTGTTTGGGAGAGTTGAATACACCCCCCACCCCTTTTTCAACAGCCTCTGACTCTTGTCCAAGAGGCTGCGTAGGTAAGTCCATCCTCTTTGAGCATTAGCCACAGCATGTCGGGGTCTACCTCAACCCCATTATCTGTGCTGTTCTGTTGATGCAAGACCATCATAACCAACACTGTAACAGTCTCTCTCTCTCTCTCTCTCTCTCTTTATTTTATTTTCTCCCAAGTGTCACCTCCCCCCCTGTTTGCTCCCCCCCTATGTGTCATTTTCGACAGCAACAACCCTACAATTTCCCCCGTGCTCCTCCCTCCTCCCAAGCTGCCCCCCCTTTTGTTCACCACCACCCTGCAGCTGTGATGTGGGCTGTCGCATGATCTTGTCAAACAAAGACAGCCACACGACCGGGTCTTGCATCCCCCCCACTACGTACTGTTCGTTGACGACATAGCTTGGTACCGCTCTGACGCCTATTTCTCGCTTGGCTTTTTCGCATTCTTTGTCGACCTCCTCCCCTAGAGCCCCCGAGTCCAACCATTCCAACCCTTTGTCTACCGTCCCGAACAATCCTGCCTCCACCCCTAGTTCGGCGAGGGTTTGTCTGGAGGAGATGTCGCGGCCGCGTTGGAAGCTGGCTTGGTAGAGGCGCGACATGAAGCGTCGGAGGTTTTGCTGGGAGGGGGATGCTTGAAAGCGGGATTGTGCCAAAAGGATCAGCCGGTGCGAGTCCCTGCTGTTGCCGGTCATCCCCTCCCAGTTGAATTTGATGTTGTAGGTGCTGGCCAGATTGTCGAGGTGGGTGAGGATGGAGGTTGTGCGGGTGTGGGAGGAGTAAATGTATGTGAGTGCGGCGCCGAGTTTGCGGGAGGAGGGGCGGGAGTTGGGGTAGAGGATGTAGGGGTGGTAGGTTAGGGAGAAGGTCACCGGGGTCGGGGGGGAGAAGGAGGAGACGGCGGTGGTGAGGGAGAGGAAGCCGAGGTGGGAGAAGGGGCAGACTGTGTCGGTGTAGATGTCGATTTTGAAGTGGAAGGGTTGGGGGGTTGTCGTGGTTGTGGTTGGGGAGGGGGGCATGATGGTTGGGGCTCAAAATTGGAGACGGTGTTGGTAGAATAGAGTGAGTGAGTGGGTTGTCTATCTCGGGTTGTCTCTTGAGGCTTGGCCTCTGGTAGATACGTTGGGCCTCGCTCTGATGGAGTGAGCTGCTTCGTCGTTGCGTTGACCGGCAAGGCAGCAACCAGCCACTTTTCTTTCCGTCTTTCTTGTCTGTTTGTTACTAGTGACCCCGTATCCCGTGCTGTAGCTGGTCATGTCGAGACGAGAACAGCGGGCAAGTGGCCCTACTGTCTGGTTGGTGATGAAGACGAAAGACGATGAAAACTCAAATCAATCAAATCAAGAAAGAATGAAAAGAAAACAAGAACAAACACCCCCGAGACCTCCCACGTGCCCACCACCTCCCGTCCACCACCTTAATCAAATACCAGGAGACGCACACCACTTGCATCAAGGGGGTCCGGGTCCATAGCCCCCTTCCACTCCCAGCCCTACGCTACCTACCTTCACCCACTGCCCGACCTCGGCAACCACGCGCCACCTCACTCTCGCCCCATACCTTCTCTCTGTCCAAAGCCGTAAGGGTTTTCTCGTAACTGCTATACGCAGCAGAAACAAAGACAGAAAAAACCTGCCGCTACCCATCAATCCGTCTCCACTTTCTAGGTCGGCAAGGCGGGCTCCCAACATCATGATTACTGATCACGACAAATACACAATTCGAGTCGAGAGGCGTTACATAAACACCTCCCAAATGACGACGAGTGATTAACCCTTGTTCTTACAACTTGTCTTGAAGACAAGACATAACTTGTGTTGCCCGCTCTCCCCAAGCAAGACAGCTAGCTTTGATTCGACATGGGAGTCCCGCCATTGAAGCTGGACTTACGAGCACTAATACCACCAAGAAACCATGATTTTGGCATAAAGCCTCATTTGGTTATTATCGCTATCCTGCCCTCTGCCAAATCCGCCCTTGATAATAGCAACGGCTCCCCCAACCTCCAAAACAGTATCTCACCTGATAAAAAAAAAACACTGTAGACTTTTTTTTGTCTGTCGTAAAATATATATCAAGAGCCCCCCCAACGCCAAACGCTTAATGCAATGTTCCATCCCCCATCCTCCTCCCTTCTCATATCAATTTTTCGTCCCCATTGTCGTTCATCTCCCCGTCTTGTCGTCCCGTCCCCCCATCCAGTATGTGCCCCATTCTGAAAGTTATAACCCCCCCTCCTGAAAAAAAGTCTAATCATGCCTCCCAAAAACCAAGCCCCAAATCCACAAAACGCCATCCCAATGCTTGATATACCCCCTTTCCCCAGTCCACCTCTTTTCGCCCTCCCCACCCCCCCCCCCACACACACACACATCTTCCCAGCCTACCCAGAACCCCCATCTACCTCTTCATGTGACTATAATCCTTCAACAAATGCTCCATATGCGTATTCGTGCTCTTGGTCCCCTTCCTCGCCGCCCTCTTCTTCTTCTTCTCCACCTTCGGCATCTTCTCCGCCTTCAACCTCGGATCCTCACTCGCCGGCTTCTGCCCCGCCTGTATCAGCTTCTGCGCAATGACATCCAGCGCCGGCAGCTCAACCCTGCTCCACGCCCTCACCAGATCCGGCTCCACCTCGTGAAACAAACTCGGATCGTCCAGCCAAACCATCCTCGCCGCCCCGTCCTTCTTGGCTCTAATCACCAGCACCTTATGCTCCCTCTCGAGCTCCGTAATCGCCGGCTCGCAATCCGGCCAGCCGTCCTTCAAGTCCTTGACGCTCACCCCAGACGCATCGGTTTTCTTTTGCAGGTACGCAATCAACTGCGTCTTGTTCCTCACGTTGGGGATGGTGGGCCGGTGGATATACGTCCCCGTCTTCCACGTCTGCTCGCTCAGATTCGGGTCCGGGATCCATTGAATCTGCGGATGGCGACGCATCTGTTCCACAAAAAACTCCTGCTCTGAATCTGACCGGCCCGTGGCGCTGAGGTACGAGAGGACGTCGTGGTAGGTCTGCGGCTCGTCCTTGCCCCTAAGCCAGGTGACCGCGTAGGCCATTTGGGAGATGACGCTGTCGCCTGTTCCCGTGACGGCGGGTTGCGAGTACACAATGTTCGCGCCGGGGAGCTCGCGGTCGCGGCGGGAGGGTGTGCCCACCGCCGCCGAGGTGGTTGATCCGACAGAGGGGGATGGCGAGGGGGGTGCGAGGTTGCGCTTGACGGCCGAGGACATGGCTGAGGTGCCAGTAGTGCCCGTGAGCTTGGAGGCTGCCGCGGCCATGGAGGCGCGAAAGGCGTCGGCTTCGCGGTCGAGGCGCGACATGGTGATTGATCTGCTGTTGTGCAATTATCTCGGGGAGGGGGTTCGGTTTGGTGGGTTGATTTGTGAGAGTGGCGATGGGGTTTGTTGTCGAGGTTTTGCAAAGGTTAAGTTTGTCGCAGGAAGAAGAGGTCGAAAAAGAATGACGGAGGTTGCGGCGCTGAAAAGAGGCGACCGGGGTTGTAAAGCGGAAACTTTTGGTGCGGCCGCGCTGAAAGTGAATTGAGGCTGAGAGCCAGGCAGGCGGGCGCTTTGGGGTTGCTAGCTGGAGGGAGACAGCCAACCGGCAGAACGAAGCAGGCCACAATTTATTTCCTGGTTATCTATTATATTCACTCCAAGTACAACGATGCTCTTGTTGCTTCAAACAGCTCTCCTAGATTGCAAGATGTATCCAAAAACAAAAAGCAAAAAACAAAAGGCCAAGATGTGTCAAACTTCAGAGTGAAATTCCACCGTCGCTTATCGAACCCAGCCTCGATATACGGGTTTCAACCAACAACGCCTCAACACATCAGACGAAACAAAAGATTCAAAATTACCAGTCTATTAAACTATGTGCCCAATTCCAGCCAGCATTGCAATGCCTCCAGACCACCAAAGAGATAGCTTGCTTGCCTGCTTGTTGACCCCCTCTCGCTTGCAATATAGAAAAGATAATAACACATCACACACCCCGGTATATCATTCATCGTCCACGAAACCCGCCAACGCATTCACATTTCGTTTTGTGTCCTGTGTACGTGTTGAATCGAATCCCGGTCTGGGAAAAAAGCAGAGTGTTATTGCAAAGATATGCAATGCCACGCTCCTCCCCCCACCACCACCACCACCATCACCCTTTCAGGATGTGGATCGCATCTCGACCTCTTGTGTGTTGGGCAGCGGCTGGAAAGCGGTGTGGACCCCCATCCCACCCGCTCCCAAATGGCACAAAGGAAGGATCCCAGACCCTGACCCTGAAACTCCTTGCCTGTACCTCCCCATTCTTTTCCCGTCTCGTGTCTTGTCATGTCAAACCCAGCAAAAAAAACAAAAAAAAAACAAAAAAAAAAAACGCCCCCAGTGTTGAACCATTTTTTTCCGTGGCCGTGGTTGCTTAAGCCTGCTGGTTCTGTTGTTGCTGGAGGTACTGGTAGGCACCGAAAGCAACGAGACCGCCGAGAAGGACGACGGCGTAGAGACCGACGCCGAGACCGGCGCTGGAGTTGTTGGCGGCAGGAGAGACGGCACCGGGGAGGGGAGTCTTGGGCTTGGGGTCGCCGGGCTGTAGAAAAATCGCGTGAGCAATCCAGTTCGGGTTATCACGCCGATACAAGAGCACAGGGGTATAAACTCACGTTGCGCTTCAGGGTGCCGACAAGAAGGGGCTCAAGAGCCTCGCGGGCCTCGTCACTGTGACCAACATCCTCGAAAGCCTCGGTGGAATCCTGACCGGCAACATCGAGAAGGACCTCCTCGCCACCACTATATATCATCCATTGTCAGCCATTCTGTGCTTGTTTGCGGAACCTGCATCTGTCCATGCGGGGAGAGCGGAGTCCGATCTCGATAAGACGCGATCTACTCTTTGGGTCAAAACTTACGGGTGCTCATCAACGAACTTGGTGATGTCGTAGATCTTATCGTGGATCACAACATAGAGGTCCTTCTTGGTGTTGTGCTCAGCAACATCCTGGTAAGTGAGCTCCTGGAGGGCCATTTTGACTGATCGTGCGTGGGTTGGGTTGATTTGTCGGTGGTGGATGTGTTCTATCAAAAAGTACCAAAAAAAAGAACAGCTTTCGGTCAGCAAAAGATACACCGATAAGCGCCACACTTTGGGGTAATCGGTCGCGCAACACAGGGAAAGTGCAATTGACCCCGGGGCAGTTGCAAACTTACAAACGAGAGGCTCAAGTACGCAAAGCAATAGAGGCTGGCAGTAGTCCGGAGACGGTGTTTGTGTGGTGGAAAAAGGGGGGGGTTGAAGAAGAAGAAGAAGAAGGGAAAGAAAAAGTCCCAAAGTCTCGGCTCCGGCTATGGAGAAATCTCCCACGTTTCTCAACAAGACCGGACACGACAGACGGCACTGTGCCACTGGGCCTTGCTTCAACAACAGGCAGCTCCCCAGAAACCCTGGACGGGGGAACCATAAACAGATTTGCGCTTGACAGCCCCTCAGATACCTCAGCAGCCAATCGGAAGAGGTCAAAATTATGCAACGCCTCCTCTGATTCGCCGGACCCCGGGCTCGTTCGATTCGGAACAACGATATCCACGAAACCCCGAGTAAGGAAAATTGGGGCCGAAAACTGGGCTCTTCACTGCAAACTTGGCCAGTCTCCCAGGTTGTTGAAAACCGCAACTGATCAATCGGTCATATAATAAATATGCACGAGCTGCTGCGGCATCTGGATGCGAGCATGCCTGGCGGTCACCGTTATCCGAAAATCTGCGAGTGAAACGGCCTTGAGTCGGGGCTTATCGGGCATCATGTCGGGGCAGAGTGGGCGGGAGCTCCCTTCAACAACCCCACCCCCCTCTCACCTACCGGCCTTCTCATTCGGGAGGGGACATGCACCTTGATAACCGTCTGATCTTGACCCCTCCTCTTTCCCTCATTCATGTGAATATCGACATGTGTTCTCTTTCAAAGAGACATACATTATTGCTCTAGACACTTGTAGGCACCACGCTCGCTCATATCAACAACACCCCTATCTCCTCACAGAACCCCCCCCAATATCCTGCCCCAATCTATAACTGGCCACCTTGTCCCACTCAATCTTCTGCCTCGTCACCGGCAACTGCCTCCTCAGCGCCTTAAACGCCCCCTCACTCAGCTGCGTAAAACTCCTGTTCAGATCCTCCTGGTACTTCTTCTCCGCCGTGGAAATCTCCCTCGCGATCCCATCCGCAGCCCGGCCGGCAGACACAGAAGCATTCACCTTCTTGTCCGTCAGCAGCCTCACGTTTCCATCCTCATAATAGTGCACATCAACCTTGATGGATCCCTCCAAGGAGTTTGACGAGGGATCATAAATGTAAAACGAGCGCCAGCGGCCATTCCTATTCCTTCTGTTAGCATGCCGTGCCGTAAGGGGATTGGGGGGCTGAGAGGGCCATACCAAAAGTTATGAGGACTATACTTATTAGCCACAATCACCACCGCGACCTTGGTGTCGTTCTCGATCGGGTAAGCCCCGTACGCAGCGTTGGGGTAGTGCTCCTTGACGTAGGTGCCCACAGTGCTGAGGGTTGATTTCCTAATCATCACCACACATCAGCACCCATCCCCTCCCCTCTCCAACCCAGGAGTACTCACACCAACGAGGCTTGCTCCCCCTCCAGAACATGACTCTGCACATTCGCCGCCTTGCCCGTCGAGTGATCAAACTCAAACGAGCTCTGGCTCTCCGAATCAAAGTACCTCCCCTCCCCCAGCGCGCTAAACTCGCTGATGATCACCTGGCTGCTTCCACCCGGGAGCTTCGCGGTGATGAACTGCTCTTCGTTGTACTTTTGGAACGCAGGAGAGAGGTTCTTGATGAGGTTGGGGTCTGGACCGGTAATAGCTTTGATGTCTACTCGCACAGTTAGTCGAGTCGTTCTGGACCAACATGGGTGTAGATCAAGGGCAGAAGGTGTCGCTCGTTTCGGTAGAATCGGGAGTTCGGGGACCGGTTGTAGCAAGAGAGGAGTGCAGAAGAAAAGACATGCCTTCGATAACATTCGCGAGCTACATGTATCCAACACAATCGTTAGCAACGGAATACAGCTGACGTGGCGGGTTGGGCATCGAGGTACTCACCTCTCCTGGCGGAGCTCCCTCCACAAAGGAGGAGATGATAGCCGTGTTGGAGGACATGGCTGTGTCTGTGAATCGCCAATCGAAGCTTGGCCAAAGACGAAGCTCTTGCAGGCGAGAATCGTCGTCAAATGCTTTACTGCAGTCGAAATGATGGAAAGCAAGCAAGTCGTCGTCAGTCGGCGGGCCCCTGGGCAAGCAAGCTGGCACTGCTGGCTGGCAGTTTGATGAAACCCCAAAGATGCGGGGCACGCTGTGGAAAATGCGCCGGCCGCCAAGACCAGGGATGTTGCCTGCCGCCAGACAAGTGGCAGGCTCCATTTGAGATGACCCTCCATGCTTTTGATATCCAAACTTTATTTCATGGTTTTCCTTCGTCGTCGTATGTCACTAACCAAAGACCTCTAGATCTACCTACCACAGATATATATACACATCACGGCCTTTCAATGGCCACACGCCCAACGCCACGCTTGCTCCCTATGCTTCACCCTCCAGACTCAATATCCACCTCAGAACCCCAGCACCTTCTTGATATTGTCATATATCCCTAGGTAACAATGTCAGCTTCCCTCTTTCAACTTCGTCAGAGTCAACTTACTAGCAACATCCGGAGCATTAAACTGCTCGTACGACAACGGCGTATGAATACTCCACCCAGCCACCCTCACAACCGGCGCCTCCAACCTCACAAACGTCTCGGCATCCTCCTGAATCACCGCCGCCACCTCGGCTCCCACACCCGCATTCACCATCGCCTCGTGCACCACCACGCACCGTCCCGTCTTCCTCACGCTCTTGAGCACCGTCTCCTTATCCCAAGGGTAGATCGTCCTCAAATCAATCAACTCCACCCCCACCCCAAGATCCCTCTCCGCCTGCTCCAACGCAGCCATGCACTTGTACAACGGCTGCCCATAACTCACAACCGTCACATCATCCCCCTTCTTCAACACCTCCGCCTTCGACAGCGGCAGCTCATAACTCCCCGCAGGCACCTGCTCCACCGCCGCCCGGTACAAAATCTTTGGCTCCATAAAAACAACCGGATCATTGCTCCGTATCGCCGCAAGCAACAACCCCTTTGCCTGCAACGGCGACCGCGGCATAACCACCCTCAACCCAGGAATATGCGTAAACAAACTTTCCGGACTCTGGGAATGATACAACGCCCCATGTCCCACACCTCCGCAAGGCATTCGTACCGTCAACCCCCCCGCGCTCCTCCCGCACGCCCCGTCGCGATACCGGTACTTGGCCGCCTCGTTGACAAGCTGGTCAAAAGCAGGGTAGACGTAATCGGCAAACTGAATCTCGGCCACGGGCCTCATCCCCTCGGCCGCGGCCCCGATGGCGAAACCCATGATTCCTTGTTCTGTCAAGGGGGTGTTGAACACGCGGTCTGCGCCGTACGTCTCGGCGAGCTTGCCGGTGCAGCGGAAGACACCCCCAAAGGCGACGTCCTCGCCAAAGATGAGGACTGATTCGTCTTCTGCGAGGGCGGTGGCGAGGGCGTCGTTGACGGCTTGGAAGAGGTTCATGCGCTTGGTGGTGCCGTTGCGGGTTTCGGGGGGGAGCTCGGGGTTGGTGAGGGCTGTGGTGGTGGTGTGGCAGAGGAGGGGGGTGGTGGAGTAATCGGTGGGAAGGTTGAGTTTGGCGTTTGGGGGATGGGTTGAGTAGGTTCTTTTTGGTGTGTTCAGAGGAGAAGAGGTCAAGAGAGCGGCTAGTTGTTGTTGTCGTTGTCCGCGGGTGGTGAATAGCGCGCGATGATGATGATGATGAAGATGATGAGGGCGGCGTGTAAGTGCCCGCGATAGCGATAAGGCGGATGGGCCCCTCATGGTTGGTTAGGCGAGTTTATCAACAAAAAAGACACACAAACAGATGGAGAGGACTATGTTGGGAATAAGCTCAGTCACATTGTGAGAGAACAGATGCAAATCAACAGAGCCATCTGTGTAAAACAGGAGGTCATGAGGAGGAGGAGGTGGAAGGGATGACGGGCGTGTCGGCTTGCGGCGGCTTTGGCTGCCACCGCCCAGCCCACCAGGCCTGTCCTTTTCGCGGGGTCCCCGCCTTTTGGGGGGGGAGCTGCCGCACGGACGTCACACGCTGCAGGGCACTTTAGGTACCGGTAGGCACTGGAGGGTGTTCGACAGCACGCTAGCCCGTTTTCCCAAGGGCCCACGCTCAGGTACTGGAGCATCATCATTTGGACCGATTATCAAAAAAGCTCCGGTTGGAGGCAATTGACGCGCTGAAGTTGGATTCCCATCGGGGTGGAAGACCCCCAATTCGATCGAGCTCACACGCGATCCAATCTCTCAGAAGTAAACCAATGACGTAGCATTGGCGCCCAGGCGGAGCCTCACTCAACCAATCCCTTTTGTGTAGACAAGCAAGGATAAGGTTACCCAGCCAACTATCAAGCCATTCTTACAACAATTAGCGTTTAGGAAGCTGGGCTGGGCCGGGCTGGGCTGCGCCTTGGATGTGGGCTGGGGAGGAGCGCACACAAGCGTCGCATCCAGTCGCAGTGGGATCCTGATGCCAGGTTTTTTGGATGCTGGGCTCCTGGGCATGAAACTGATTTCACATTTCAGCGCGCGAAAAAAAAAAAAAAAAATAATGTGTTTACTTTTTGTCTCGTTTGTATTCCAACATCGCCAATTGAATCTGTACACACTGTGCCGGAATGTCATTTTCTTGACCGCCTAACCACCAGCACCACCACAGCAAAATGCCCCGCGATCCCTCCACCGACCGCGAAGCCCGCGGGGAACGTCGCAGGAGCACCCACCACGGACACCACCGCAACCGCTCCTCCGCCAAACACGACCGAGATGGAGATCGAGATCGCGAAACTGACGCCGAAAGGGAGGAACGTCGTCGCAAGCGCAGGAGTCAAAGTAGACGACCCACCAGCACGCCACGTGGGGCAGGAGGAGAAAATGAATCCGATGCGCCATCTTCCTCCCAGGGACTATCAGCAGCGGCATTGGCGCAGTTGAATAAAGCCAATGCGAAAGACAAGGCAAAGTCGCGATCGCGACCTACTTCGCGGCAGCCGGAGCAGAGGAGGAGGTCATCACGCACCCCGGCACCAGAACCGGAAATTAGAGACGCGAGGGATTTGGCGTTGGAGTGGGAGAGGTCGAGAGGGAAAGGAAGATTTGCGCCGCCGGAAGACAGCGAGGATGCTGAGCGAGAGGCAAGGAGGGCTGCCAGGCGAGCAGCGAGGACGAGGGAAAGGAGCAGAGCTGCTGGTTATGAGAGTGTTAGGCAGGGAGGCTATGAGAGCGGTGAGCCGCCTGAACGGGAAAGGAGGAGGGGGCGGAAGGGGTACGAAAAGGTTGATGGGGGAGGAGGGGGGCTGGCTCCCAAGGTGATCACCGTAGCGGGACCCTCCGGCGAACGATACGAGCGGGACCGCACCACCAAAGGCGGGAGGCGAGTCGTCAGCGGGGCTCAGCTGGAAGAGGGTATCGAAAATGTCCAGAGCCGCAAACCGCACCGCTCTGGCCTCCGCGGCGGCGGGTTTATGGGGATGAACTTTGGTGTCAGCAGTGAAGACAGCATGCTCCGCGCGAAACCCCAGGAAACAGAATCTGAGCTTTGGAGAGGGAAGCCCCGGCCGTGGTACAAGCAGAAGAAGAAGCTCTGGTGGCTGATTGGAGTTTGCACCGTCCTCTTGATCATCATCATCATCGTTGCCGCGGTGGTGGTCCCCAACTCGGGCAAAGACGAAAACAAACGTGACGACGGCAGCGGAGGAGGAGGAGGCGGTGGGAAGAGTAACCTGGGGTCTATATCCCCCGACAGCATCCCCAAAGACGCCCCCTCCTACCTCAACCCCTTCCTCTGGGCCTCCACCGACGACTTCAACCTAACCTACACAGCCGAAACCGTCGGCGACCTCCCCCTCATGGGGCTGTTCACCTCCTGGGACGACTCCGCCCGCGCAAACGACAAGGTCCCCCCGCTAAACAAACCCTGGGGCGACTACACCAAACGCCCCGCCCGAGGCGTCAACGTAGGCGGCTGGCTGTCACTCGAGCCGTTCATCACCCCCAGCCTTTTTGACTATGACTCCCGCTTCGGCATCGTAGACGAGTACACCCTCTGCTCCTACCTCGCCTCCCGCTGCGCTTCCGTGCTGGAAGCCCACTACGCCAGTTTCGTGACAGAGTCCACCTTCCGCGACATCGCCGCCGCAGGGCTCGACCACGTCCGCATCCCCTTTTCCTACTGGGCAGTCCAGACTTACGAAGGCGACCCCTACCTCTTCCGGACCAGCTGGCGGTATCTCCTCCGCGCGATCGAATACTGCCGCAAGTACGGCCTGCGCGTGAACCTCGACCCGCACGGGCTACCAGGGTCGCAGAACGGGTGGAATCACTCCGGTCGGTTGGGGGCAATCAACTGGCTAAACGGAACAGAAGGCGACCTCAACGCGAGGCGATCCCTCGAATTCCACGACCGGCTCAGTCGATTTTTCTCCCAGCCTCGCTACCGCAATGTAATCTCCCACTACGGCCTCGCCAACGAGCCAAAGATGACAGAGCTCAGCGTTCCCGCCGTGCTAGAGTGGACAGCCCAAGCCAGTTCCACGATCCGAAAAAACGGCATCCCCGAGGACGTCATTCTCGTCTTTGGGGACGGGTTCAGAGGGCTGGGGAACTGGCAGGGCGAACTTCAGTCCCTCCCCAACGCGGCACTGGATGTGCATCAATATGTCATTTTTAACGAAGAACAGATCGCGTACAACCACTCCCAGAAGATACGGTTTGCGTGCGAGGGGTGGGCACGGCAGACGAGGGAGAGCATGGATAGATCGACGGGGTTTGGACCTACGCTCGTGGCCGAGTGGAGCCAGGCGGATACTGACTGCGCGAAGCATTTGACAAACGTCGGTTGGGGGAACCGCTGGACTGGCACACTCGGGCCGGGGGGGACGAGGCCGAAGGACGTGAGGCCGAGGTGTCCTGCGCTGGACAGGACGTGTAGCTGTGAGGAGGCGAATGCGGGTCCGGAGAGGTGGAGTGATGGGTACAAAAGGTTTTTGAGAATGTTTGCGGAGGCGCAGATGGATTCGTTCGAAAAGGGGTGGGGGTGGTTTTATTGGGTTTGGGATACGGAGGACGCGTAAGTTTTTTTTTCTTCTCTCTCTCGGACGAAAAGGGGGTGGTGATGCTGACTGACAGTAAAAACAGAGCACAATGGAGCTACAAAAAGGGCATGGCGGCCGGTGTCCTGCCCCAAAAGGCCTACGAGAGGGAGTTCAACTGCGATTTGAGCAAGATTCCTAGCTTTTCCGACTTGCCAGAGACGTACTAGATCATGTATGACGAGCATAAAAGGGGGGGAAGATTGTAGATTTGACGAGATGTATATATACACATGTATATGGGACACGGGAGGTTTGGTGTTTCGGGTTTGGCTTATTAGTACCTAAAGGGGAGAGATAGAGGCTTCGATATCATTGCCGGTCGAGCACGAGGCAGTATGTTTTGGACACATAAAAGAGCCCGATAATACGGCACAGGAAAATCACATATAAACACACATCACAGCACATCATCAAACACCTCTATTCAACCCTCAAAACAAAACCCCACAATTTTATTCGCATGCTACCGCGTTCGTTGCACACTATAAATAAACCCACCCACCCACACACACACACACCATTTCTTTCTCACCCCATTTTGACTTTTCCCCCTTTCCGCTGGAGAAAACTACATGACTGAGCGCCATAAAACTGACAGAATAATAAAAGACAAACCAATCCATTTCGTGATACCAGTCTAGTAGCGAGAGAGAAAAAAGAAAGAAGAAAAACCGACGGAGAAAGAGAGAAACTTTGTGTTGCATTCGTGATCGACCTTGTGTTTGTTGCTGGCCTGCCTAATGGGTCCCCGAGAGAGAGAAAAGAAAAAGTGCCAACCACCCCAAAGCAAGCCGAAAAGAAGAGCAGTTGAATAAAGCCCGCCCGCTATGATTAAAGTAGTTCACGCCGGTCCTGACCGTCTTTATTATAAAAACACACAGAGATATAATAAGCCTCCCAGCCCTCCCGTGACGCATGCACACCCGTATAAGAAGATTTTGCCAATCCAGTCCAGATATACGTCGGCAAGTTATTAGGTACGGCTCGTGAGCCAGTAGAGTTGAGATAGGGTGGGCCGAGCGGTCTGGTAGTCATCCACAAGGCCCAAAGTCCTGAGCTCTCGCTTCAGAACAGGCTGTTACTGATAGTCCCAGTGAGCCGGGTCAAGTCCCGCACCGGTGTCCCCATCAGTTTCCACCTTGACAGGATGCCCATAATAAGCATCGAGCTCCGAGAGCGAGGCGGAGGGGGTAAAAGCAGTCTCGGGGGAGGCGGTCTCGGACGAGCTGGTATCCGGTCGAGTGGGATTGTGGTGGGCTTCGACCTACTGACCCGTCCACATCTCACTTGGCCGCTGTCCTGGCTCCGTGCTCCCGGGCCGACGACCCTGTGTCGCAGCGCTGGCATAGTATATCTGGCCCATCTGAGCCGTGTTCTGATACGATGGTTCGGGGTCCGGATAGACCGACGCACCCTGGCCGTGGCTCTCGGTAGGGGACCCAACAGGACCGGGGGAAGCCCAGCCGACACTGCCAATGTGAGGGCTGCCACTCGCGCTACCGGGGCCTTGCTGAAACTGATCGAGACTGGGCTCCAAAGGCGGGGGGGGAGCATACCCGCCGCTTGGGTGCGAGGTGGGACGCATCCCGTTATTGTAACCAGAGGAGGCAGTAGAAACGGGACTTCCTCCGTGGACATCACCACGAATGTGCGGTGGGAGCGAGGTGTTGGTCAGATACTGCTGCATGTTGTTAATGTTGGCGAGATCTTCGTTGGGAGACATGGACATGGGACGCTGAGCGGGAGAGGGTGTCGTGATGGGCGACTCCTGGTTGGACGCCTGTTCGCTATCCCCGCGCTTGTTCCTAATAGCAGCGGCGGCCAAGGCGGTGTTGGAGCCTTGCGCCAGAGCCTCGTTGCGAGCCCGCTGCGAGTCTTCCACTGTCCCGGTGTGGTGGTTCTGATGCCTGGTCAAGGTTGTACGGCGCGTAAAGGTCTTTTGGCAGTCAACATAAGGGCACTTGTATGGCCGCTTCCCCGAGTGAATTCGACGATGACGCGCGAGAGAGCTGCTGTCACTGAAGGGCTTTCCGCAACGCTCGCACTGGTGGGGTTTCTCGCCGGTATGCACACGTTGGTGGACGGTCAGGGCAGATCGCTGGATGAACTGTTTCCCACATCCCGGGTAATCGCAAACGTGGGGACGGATTCCGCTGTGGATGCGCTCTGTTCAAACATCGTCAGTAAGCAAGCCTCGTCTCAACTCACATGGGTTGTTACTCACCATGGCGCGCAAGATCGCTCCGCCTGGCAAAGCCCTTCCCACACGTCTGGCAGGGGTACGCCTTTGGGGGCGGTTGCTGAGGAGCGGGAGTAGGTTCGGTCTTGAACCCGGGGTGCATGACAGGAATCATGGACTGTGGCATGGGCTGCTGCATGGTTTGTTGCATGGGAATGCCCATGGGCGCAGGGGCCATGTTCGCGGGCGGCAATGGCGCGCCCCCGATCGCGGTTGGGGAGGGATATGTGTATCCCGAATTCTCGGAACCATGCGGCGAGTTTGGTCTGTTCATGGGAACCTGCTGTGGAATGGTCTGACCTTGTTGGTGTTGCTGCTGCTGCTGAACTTGTTGAAGCGGTTGCTGGGCCTGTTGAAGCTGTTGAGCCTGCTGGACCTGTTGGGCCTGCTGCTGGACTTGCTGTTGGACCTGTTGGACCTGTTGAACTTGCTGCTGAAGCTGCTGCTGGACTTGCTGGTCGACAGGCATGGCTCCGGCTTGTTGGAGAGCTTGGGCGGCGGCGGCACCTTTATTGTTCAGCACACTGCCAATTCCCATCGCACCAGAGGCTGATGGAGATTGTGACATGTTTGCCCTGTGGGTTCAAGGGTCAAGAGTCTAGCTTTAATGGTCAGCAAAACTCGCGACGAACTAGAGGCGGTGAGGCGACTCGAAACAGGTGACCAGGCTGCCTATCAAAGAAGACGAGGTCGCGACAAACGCGCGATTTCCGATAGGCAAGCCACGACATGGGTAGGTTCTTATTTACTCTGCGACCACAGAGGTTACGTTGAATCAAACGATGGGCACAAAGGTTCGGGTGTAGGCGGCAGGCCATGAGATGGAACGGCGAGGACAAGGATTTTTGGAGGAAAAACCGTGCGGGGTCGGCTCGTGCAGAATTTTTCTTACCTCAGTTGAATCCCTCAGGATGAGCCTGACGGAGGCTGACACGTCAAAAAAGACGAATCTTGATGCCTTTATTCCCGATATATGGCGGCACCGACAGCTGGTGATGGCCGCTTGATGTCGCTTGCGAGGGTGGTGAAGGCACGGTTCAGGTGCACGGTTCAAGTGTGGGCTTTTGTTGCTGAGCAGAGGAACTGCAAACGCGCCTTGGCCACAACGCGGTAGTGACTTAAACTTTGGGGTCGGTTGGGATTACGTCGCTCGACTGCTGCTCGACTGCTCGACTTGCGCCACTGTCTGGTAACTGCACCACGACGATGGGATGGGATGTGGCGCGGGCAGGAGGATTCGGATTCCGGTCTGCTCTTGTTTTTTGTTGTGTGAAGGGGAAAACAAAAACCAAAAAAAAAAAAAGGTCTACAGCCGGCCGCGACGGAAATTTCTGTTGTGGAAAGAGCTGCGGTGCGGACTGCGGTCTGGTTGGAAAGAAATTCCACGTCTATCGCTCCTTGCTCCAGTGGGTCCCGATCTGAATCACCCAGCTAAGGTACGGAGCAAGGTATTGGCACCTTGATGTCAGAATCTCGCCTGAATTTGCGATGACCAGTCACAATTCACCCCCTCGCTATGCCAAAGAGCTGCCGGATGCCTGTCCGCAGCCTTCAAATAAGTCGTCAATGGCGCGGTAGGGACAAAAAAGTAAGTCGTCGGAGGGAGGGAGTCGTCGTCAAACGGACCTGCAGTATGCCAACCGGCTGTCAGCTTCTTCAAATCACAACGCAACAAGAAGTGTAACGCAAAGCCAAATGATCCAACAGATGAGGTGTTTTGTACAACGGGGGGAGCTCGAGATGGGATCGCCATCTTGAACATGTCGAGTTCAAGAGAAGAAAAAGTGGGAGAAAAGCCGAGCGCGACCAGAGACCAATGCTCCCATCTCTCCAGCACCAGCACCAGCACCAGCAGAAGCACCAGCACCGGCGAGAGGAGGAAACAATGGCGGTGGGTTGAGGCGTCGTGCGGTTTGGTGGCAGCACGTCCCCTCCACCTCAGCACTGGTGTTTATGAGATCCGTGTGTTGGGCGGTTGCTTGGTTACGTACCGTGAGGTGGCTTGACAGGTGTGGGATCGCAGAGAATCTTGTTTGAAGACGTATCTGATGTGACGAGATGAGATGTGGGAGATGTTCCTTTTGTGAAGGGAGAGAGAATGGAACAGAAGGAGGAAAGACAGATCAGATCAACAAGATCCCGTGACAGAGGTTCTGACGGCGGGAGAGAGAGAGAGGGTGAGGATTCAGGATCAAAAAATAATGGCAAAAAGAAAATAACGTGGCTCGGCACGCAGGTGAGGATCCTTGCGTGGATTGGGGACTTCCAGGCTGGAGAAGTGTGCAGGGGCGAGTTGAAACGAACGGTGAACAGCACAAGGGTGGGCTCCTGGTGGGTTCGCTGTGGGCTGCTGCCAGGCCCGCGTAGCAATCGCCTTATTTTGTCCCGGTCGTGCAGGGTACTTCGGCTGTCCCAGCCTGTGCCACCAGAACATCATGTACCACGCTAGCCCTCGAAGCTTCAACGCAAAATGATCACCTGCACTGGCCCCTTTCAGTCATGATTCCCGTCATTCTATTCGATGCCTTTGAGATTGACGATTAAACCTGTCTCGATGGAAAACAGATGCCCCAATACAGCCCACAGTTGGAAATGAGATGGATGTCCCTCATTTAGACTGACAAAAACACCCTACCCAACACCCAACCCAGAGGCAAAACGGCGGCGCCGTGACGATTCAGGGACGGGAAAGCTGCTCGCTCTCCAAAGGGTACCATCTGCCCACCGCTTCCACCCCCTCACAACTCCCTCAGCTGGCCGCCTTCGAGCCAAACCTGTCGGCTCCCCGCAACCTGGCCGTGTCAGCTAGAATGCTATGGTGTTGTAATTTGTGCCATGGTGGGCGCTCGGACTCGTCAATGATGCTGCTCTTCTACCCCGGCATCCCACCTCGCTCAGCCTTGAGAGCCCTGGCCTCTGACGTTGGCCCTGGTACCAGATATACTAAGGCGATCAGTGCGAAACCACAGCAAAAGCGGCAAAGAAGAAGAAGCTTCCTCAGAACCTTCGATCGCCCCACGGTGGTGGGCAACACAAGAAAAGGCTTCGTGCAACCTCGATATTCTGGTTCCTTTGTCCCCTGAAATCAGCCGGCGCCGACTTGCCATTTATTATCTTGTCACCTTTATCTACCGGTACCGTAGAGCGGGCCATTCAGTAAAGGGCTTGATCATTACACCGCACACACACGGAGAGGGCCCACGAGCAACGATACGGCAGAATCCGAACAGGGGCTTCCTCCGAAGTGTTGGGAGCTGCAGTCAGGCACGCTTTTTGTTGATCGAGCACCCAACCGGAAGGATCAGAGGGCATGACGAGCCGAGCAACAGTCACCCAGGACAACGATCTGCATCCAGAAATTCGGGACGGCCACCTCATCGCGATCACCAACAGGAGGAAGGGGAAAAGCTCGATGGGGACTTCCTTAGATGACTTGCAACTCAGACCATCCACCTCACCACTGGCCGCACAGGCCACCCTGCCTGCACCCAGCGATCAATTCAATCAATTAAATAGCCAATCAGACTACACAAATTACTCGGGCGCGCACACACTAACAATCAATCAATCAATCAATTGGGACTCACCCGCACCACAAGCTATTGAAACGCATGGAAGTGTAATTGGCTTTCCCAGTAGTAAAAAATGTTTAGATTCATACCACTTTTTACATACTTATGTGGTGGTGTCGTGCCTTTAATTTTGAAACTATGGCTTGTGTGGTAAACTTCATGCTCGAACTCCAAAAATCTGGGCTGCGGTGCCTGTCAAACGCCCTGTTTGGCCTAGTGCTCAAAATCAAACTTGGCCTGATTGGATGTGTGGTCAGGTAACTTGCCTTATATCATATGTGGGGAGGGTGGTCATAGTTGCAAGTCATTTAGGAAAGTCCCTCGATAGGGGGCCTCGCTCACAAACATCGAAGCGGTGCCGGAAGCAACGGCGAGATTGGTTATGGTCTTTTGAAATTGGAGATTTCCAAGAATAACGCCGCCAGGGACACACTGTGCTCGTGGAGTTGCCGATGGTCAATGCATGGGCAGCCAGCCCATCTCGGAGCCCCTGCTTTGGGGTGGGACGCTGTGGGACCCCCCCCCCCCCCCCCCTCGCGGTTGTGAGCAGGGGAGTGGCACCTGAAGCTGACGCTATCCTGCTTGGGGAAGGATTCTGGAATCCTTCTAGAATGCTTTTGGCCTTCCAAGCCGCCAGCTCAGCGCTTGGCGGGCCGGGGGTGGAGGTCTGGGAAATGCAACCACCTCCAAACCTCCTGCACCACACCGCACCACCCCCTCGCCAAGCCAATGCATTCGCTGCTCAGAGGGCAAGGATTTTCACAGCTGAACGGCCCTCTTTGGCTTCTATTGGCTGTTGGTCAGTCCCTTTAACGAGCAGAGCCGAAGGGGCTCTCTTTGCGTGTGTGTGGCATGCAAAGATGGCAGACGGCTTGCTTCACAGTCTGGAATCTGAATCGCTCATGGCGGATGCTACTCCGGCAGAAGGTCCTATGACTCCACCTTTGACGTATATCTGCTGACTGCTCACTGACAAATGGTAGGAAAGTGGTGTGAAGCTGGTCCAAGAAGAAGACGAGAAGAAAACTGAGCATCCCAAGGGCGGTGGTGGAAATTCATGTGGCACGTTCACGACGGGCGCTTGGACACTTCATCAAAAGCTTCCACCATCGTTCTCTGAAGCTTCTCCCGCAAGCCCTGTGGATCCTGGACCCTGACGGCGACCGGGGGCGTGATGAAGTGTGCCAGGGCCATGACAGGCTGACGCCCAGTCCACATCGCTTCGCTTCGCAGACGTCGGTCCAGGGGGCTTTTGTTGCTCAACAACACGAAGCACTTGCTACAGAAAACGTTGACCAACCTTTTCTCTCATCAAGGCAGGCAGAAAGGCGTCGTACAGCTTCTTCGAGTTTCATATCCACCGACAATGGGCGGTCGAATGCTGGCATTGGTCAGTGAATTTCGGTCGCCTGCATGCAATTGCTTGATGGCTGCCGCCGCCCGGTTCCTTTGGGGCTGCTCCGCCGCTTACCCTATGTCAGGGGGTGATAGTGCGAAGCCTGGTTTCCTCCCGGTGTTGATTCCCAGGCAAAAGGAGAGGTTGGGCAACGGGGAGTTTCTTTCTGCAGCAGGATACATTGTTGCTCTGAAACGCCGGGCACAAATGTTTGCCCGAGTCGTTGGGCCTCTCTTCCCAACGTCTTTCTCTCACGGGCACGAACCTCCCCGTAAATCCCACGGAAATATCCGCCATATCCATTCGGCAGCGAAGCCACTCCGAAGCTGTATTGATGACGTCCGTTTTCATACTGAACAAGATGTCCGGTGGATGCCTAGCAGCTGTCAATATGGAGAATGGTTTAATTTCCTTCTCGGTTCCATCAGCCGAACCAAGATGGAATTGAGATCTGGGAATAAACTGGAGCTACCTCCCTTGGCCAAGATAAGCGGCCTCATCCTCGCTCTGTCGGTATGGCCGGAGAGGAAGAGGTTGATAACGAAGTGTATTCTAAAAGATGGCGAGAAGCTAACTTTGTACTGTAAGTTGCATATTCTCCAGGTGACTCACCAACAAGATGCTCACATATGTTTGGTGTTCTTCGAGGTATGTCGATCTGAGGTCTCTCGCACACAAGTCTCATTAACGGTTTCCTCGGGATGATTACATCGCCTCCTGGTCATTCCGCCCCTTGTTCGGTCAATCAATCCCGTGGACCCCCCCCCCCGCTCCCCCTTTCCTTCATCGGCCGGAGCTTCTCCCCGGGTTTTGACAGCCGGCCCCTGGCTGGCGGGTGGGGCCGGTAGTTTGATAAAGGAAACATGCAACGTTTGTTTGAGATGATGGTTCGTGATGGATAGATGAGACCTGGTGTTGGGAAAGGGTTGTTATGCTTGGGAGTGGTGAAACGCGTGAAAGCGTAGCACCCACTCGCTGACTTGGAGCTTGGAGCAGGAGTTTGGAAAACGTTGGGAGCATCCGAGATTGGTGAGGGCTTGCGTGGGTAGTAGCTTCTCTAGAGGTCTGAGGAACTGGTTCTAATAGAACACACTGACGGCGCAACTTAGGAGTTTCGATGACGACTTGGTAGCACACTTGCTGTTCGCTAGCGTCCAGCTCCAAAATACTTTTGGGTTCAACCCAGATTCAGAGTTATGCATCTCTGAACTCACATCTCAGCATGCCCTCGGTTGGTCTTGAGGGTTTCATGTAGACTTGTGTGAACTTAAGAATGAAGTGCTTGTATAGGTAGGTGTTGGAGTATGTTTCTGATCTACCTGATGGAGGAGGTTATTTATTATCCTTGTGGTGGATTTCTTTACTTGGGTAAAAGCATATATACCCTTGGCCTATGGCCTACCTTCAAAGGCCCCTTTCGCATATATTTAAAGCCTGTCAATCATACCTAGGCCCCTTTCTATCATCTTCAAACGCATAAGTTACGCAGCAAAAGGCGTCAAATCAGCAACATATCATCTCCCAAACCCCCTTCCTCAAAGCCTAATCCCCCTCAACTCCTCCACCACACCCTCGGTAAACGCCTCCTGCAGCACCAAACCCCCATCAACACCCAACAGCCCATCCGCCACACCAAACCCCCTCTCCCCATGAGCCCACAAGCACCTCTCCCACCACCCTCGCGTACCTCTCCCCTACCAAACCCCCCAACTCCGCCAGAGGGTTCATCTCAAACGGCGCCCCCTCTTTCCTGACACCCAAAAGCCAATCCCTCACGTTTTTGCTCTCCTCCAAACTAACAGTGGGATACCCCTTTTCTTCCTCGCCCTCGACCACTTTGGCTTTCCTCCCCTTCCCCAACCCCATAAGAACATGGAGTTTCTCCCAGTGCGCCACCTCCAGCAACACCAACCCCAGAGAATAAAGATCATATGTCTTTTTCGAATTCCTCTCCGTAGGCCGCTGCCGCTGTATCCCCGGCCACCGATACAAATCCCACACAATATCCGTATCCCTCGCCGTCGTAGCCGTCCCATCGGGACGAGAGAACTCAAATCCCGAGAGGATGGGCGAGGTAGGGTCGTACGCCACCCGCCCGTCATCAAGGCAGAAAAGCACATTTTCCGAGAATATCCCCTTGTGCAACCAGTTGACCGCATGAATGTTGAGGACGGTAGAACAAAGTTTTTCTGCCAGGACCACCCGCTGTGACAAAGACGGGCGGTAGGTCCTGTTGCCGAGGAGGGAGTAAAGTGATACAATCCGGGTGTCGTAGTCAGAGCCCTCGGGGAATTTGAATATCCAGGCGTACCGCTCCGTGTCGTTGTAAGCCCTGTCGTCAAAGTACCCGACGCAGGTGGGTAGCGAGCCGGGCTTGGGCAGGTGAAGCATCTCGGCCAGGGCGACAGTGCGAAGGGCGGATTGCTTGTCTTGGAGGGAATTGGGTTTGAAGGCCCCGATCGATTTCCACTCTATCCACACTGGAATGTCGCCGTGGGGGGTGGTGAGGATGCCGCGGGGCCGGGGGAGGTATTCGGGGTGGGCGGTTTCGTCTTCGTTCCAGCCGAAGGAGGTGTCGAGGGTGGCGGGGGTGTACTCGGGAACCGTGATTGTGATGATGTCGGAGAGGGAGGAGAGCTTGAGGGGTTGGTTGTCGTCGTGGAGCTGGGAGAGGATGGCGTCTGAAGTGCGGGAGAGCTTTTTAAGTTGGACAAGGTCTTGCAGGGTTTTGTCGTTGTTGTTTGGGGCGGCAGCGGTGGCATGGTTGCGGGAGGAGGTGGCAACAAGGCCGGAGACGGCGTCAAACATGTCGCGGAGGTCTTGGATGTCGTTGCGGGTAAGGATCATCTCCCGGTAGGTCTTTGCGGTGATGTCGTCGATGCGCTTGTCACGGTGGTCTCTTATGAGCTCGTGGAGACGCTCGGTCAGGAAGTGGAGGTCTTCGAGGAGCTTTTTGAACTCCTCGCCGTCCATGACGAGCCACCGCACTCGGCCGGGGTGGGTGAGCATGTCTTTGGTGTGGTAACCCGCCTTGGAGAGGAAGCCTCTGATATGGTTGGTTCCCTTGAGGTGCCTGCGCTCCTTCTTCTCTTTTTCGTAGGACACCGCCAAAGCCGAGACATCCTTCACAATGTCGGCATCTGCGGCCGAGGTTGTATCCGCTTCGTCGATAGACGCTCGCTTCTCCTCGTCTCGCTCCATGCCCCTGATTTCTTTTGCTATTTGCTTGCCATCCTCGTCATAGACGTATGGGTTGAGCTCATTGCCGTACCGGGCATTGTAGTCGCGGAACTCAGAGAGCAGCCACTGTATACGGGCGAGTATAGCTGCAAGCTCGATACCTTCGGCTCCCAGTACGGTACCCAGAGTCGAGCCTTCGGGCACATCGATGAGGCCGACCGCCTTACCCCAGGCCAGGACGCGGTTGTATTCGATGACCAACTGCAGCCTATATTTCTCGCAGTCTCTTGGCATTTCAACCATGGCCGTGAGGAACCGGAATACTAGGCCTTTGTTAGTTTTGCTGATGCGTGTGGTTTGGAGAAAACAAGGCCTGGTCGTCATGCCAATAGGTCTATACGCTATCCAACCACGTGTTTCAATGATCCAAAGCCACTTGAGCTTCATAGTTTTAGGCCTATTTGCATGACGAACAGGCCCCTATAATATTCCAAAGAGGTGTGTTTGTTAGTCAACTAAAGAGTCATGAACGTGTACACACCTCTGATGGTGCTGTCGAAGACGTCCCAGGTGAGGGAGATGATCCCCCCTGCGGCTTCCATGGTTGCAGTTGACGATGCCTTCCAAGCAAGGTAGGCCTTTGGAAAGAGCAAGATGGCCTTTGGAAAGTAAAAAAGCCTCCAGCAAAGTAAAAAGGCTTTGAAAGATCAAAGGAAGGCATGCATCTTGAAGGGCTGAAGTGACAGGCCTGCTCCACTGGCTCAGGCAGCAGCGCTGATTTGCTGGTGCTAGCAACTGCTGTTGTGGTCGTTCATTCGGTCGTCGAAATGCGCCCAATCAGTTTCCTGCATCTTGATCCCCAAGAACTTCAAACTGTCAATCTGCCTGAACGAGGCACTGCTCCGAGTCAGTCTGTATACAGCAGCGTTACACTGCATACTCGCATTTTGGAGCACAGCTTTATCGACATTACAAGAGCACGTCTAGGCTCTTCTCGTTCCTGCAGGTCTCCCCAGTCAACACTTCACCTGACTTTACCTACTTCGTGAGTCACCTACACGCCTTCTTAGCAAGCCGCCAGTTTCCGATATCATCGCCAGTATCACTACTGCACAACACACCCACGTGAGGCCCTCTTCTCGCGGCGAATGACATCTCTGCACATCTGAGCCTTGCCAAGCCTCGCCACGGCTTGCACCGGGACACCCGGAGCACACCTCGTCCGGTGAGTCCAGAAGTGACCACACACGACCACACACACAACCAACAGCCGAGAGCCTCCAGAACGAGAGCGTGGGAAGCGTGGGAGCCACCGCGGCGTGGCTGGTTTGAGGCTGGCCCCGGAGTGTCAGCAGGCCGGGCCATGCCTTGGTAATCACACCAGAATCATCTTGGGCGTTCCCCAGCCCGCCTAACGTCATTGAAATACCACTGTTTTTCTCACCGAAGCAATTTTCCACTTCTTCAACAACCTCTTGCCACAGCGCGAGCTACCAAAGAACAGAGTGTCTGACTCTTTCGCTCTCGAGATGACAGACGTCGTCAGCGCTCCTCAAGAGGAAGACGAGCCACGTCCTCCGTTACCAAGAAAGATGTCGTCGCTCCGAACCAGGCCGGCCGCACGTCGAGTCCCGACCGCGAACCGCGTCACGATAGCCATCCCGAAACCTTCCCCCACCAGCGATGTCACCAGCGCCCGCTCCGCTTCCGGGGCCGGTATCCAGTCGCCCGAACTTAATGTCACATCCACGCCATGGTCCAAAAAGCTTATTCTGACCCTCGACGGCGGCGGCATCAAGGGGTACTCGTCTCTGATAGTTCTGCAGGCGCTGATGCAGGAGATTGCGCAGGTTGAGCAAGACCTTGACCCGCGCGCCTCATCGAGCGCCCAGACTGAGCGGATACCCCGCGATCAAATCCCCGAAGACGTCTTCAGGGAAGATCAATATCTACCGTGCCACTATTTTGACTACATCGCGGGTACCAGTGTCGGAGGTTTGATCGCCATCATGCTGGGAATGCTTGGGAAGAGCGTCGATGAATGCATCAGTGAATTCCACCGCCAGAACAAGAACATACCTCTCACCACGGACCTTGCCGGCGGCGCCACGATCGACTTTCCACTGCTCTATCGCCGGAGCACCTGGCCGACCAAGCGCACCCGCGCCTTTTTCGATACGTTTGCCAAGTTCAGCGTCAGCTCTACAACCAGGAACAAGGCCGCCGTCGCTGCCACTCTCCCAACACCGGTCTCTTCGAGATCATCCACCCACTCGAATGAGTCGACCGGCTTCCGGAAGGATGCCTTTCAATGTCAGACCCTGGCGTGGTGTACTGAAGTCGAGCGTCACCAACCGCGCCGCCCATACGCTTTCTGCACGTACAAAGAAGAGGAGGAAGATGACGCCGGCAGTCTGGTCTCGATTCCCGAAGTCGCAAAGGCCATCACGGCGCCGTCGTCGTATTCCTTCAAGCCGTTCAAGCTAGGCTCGGGGTCGTTTGTGGACGGCAGCAAGCAGATTCGCGACCCTACTCTTGAAGTGCTGAAGGAAATCTCATCGCTGCTCGACGACGGCGAGCCCTCTATTGATTTGCTGCTGAGCCTGGGGACGGACGAGCACCAAGCCTGGTTTTATGAGAAGCTTCGGGCTTTTACCTCGTCTGCGTCTACGCCTCTTTCTGCGAACTCCACCACTTCGAGGGAGAGTCTTTTGGATCAGGAAAGGGGGAAGAAGTACAAGACTTATTACCGGTTTGAGGCGCCTGATGTCAAGCTGGGGATGAGGAAGAAGTACTATTTGAGCGAGATTGAGGAGGCCACGCGGGAGTGGTTGAGTTCCAAGGAGCAAAAGGAGCAGATTGGGAGGTGATGCCCGGTGGCTAGTTCAAAGAAGGAGGGAGAGGGCGAGGACGACGAGGTGGGAGGGTTTTGCGCTGGGGGTGAGATACGTTTGTCATCATGGGGACTGCAAGATGCCGGAGAGGGTGTGGGAGTTGAGGGGGGATTATTATGATCATTTGGAACGGAGGCATGGGGTTGGGAGGTTGAGGGCGGAGGAGAGGGAGGGGGAGTTGGATAAGGGGAGGAGGTTTGGTGTTGGGGATGGGCTTTGAGCTTTGGGATACCCATTTGATTTTGGGGTTTTGGTTTTTTTTTTTTTTTTTTTTTTTTTTTTTTGGTTTTTTTTTTTTGGCTTTTTTCTTGCTCTTGGATTGGAGCATCAAAAGGAGGTTTGAAGCAAGCATGGAGTTTTGGAGTTGAATACCTAGGGGGGGGTTATCCGGTACTGGATAGGTATCAGGGATTATTACGTTATGAGTTAGGATGGTATGATTATGGGGTATGAATATGATGGTATTGTTCTATTTGTATGAAGATATGGGATTTGGAGTGTGGGATTATGATGTGAAAGGGGGGCAAGTGAGTGTTGCAGCATGCTGACAATTTGCAGACTGAAAGAGAGACAACTTGGATAGGGTGAAGGGAATAGAGGAGGTCTGGATTTACGCGAGCATGGTAAGTGATGACACAGGCACCGTATATTCTTTCTTTGTAGACTGATTGTTGCATGTGTAGGTCTTGCAGTTGATCGTATACAGTCTCGGGCATCCATGCCGATTTTTTACACAACGTTGTCTTTGACATTGTAGACATGACCACACCGGATACCCGGTTTTGCTTTAACAATTACCGAAATGGGTCTTGATTTGTCATACAGGAATAAAATGGAGGGGCAGACGTGTTCTTCCTCCCCTTTGTCCCTGGATTTGATCCGAAGCTAGACTCTAGGTGCTGATGATAGCCGTTACTTGCCCGTATTTAGTGGCTTGCTTCCCGAGTTTTGCGAATGCAAATGCATGGTATAGCGATGAACTTAACTGAGAGCGTTGGTTCTCTCACAGCGGGTGTCGACGATTTCTTCCTCCACCACGAGCTGATATTCTCAAACGGCGAGCCATCTTAAACTATTGTCAAGCGCATCGACTTACCTATCCTACCTACCATGGACAGTAGTTCCACAAAAGATATAATCACCATACTCCATGCCGTACCGCCCACACCCCGAAACCCCGTTCCACATTAACAACAACAACAACAACAACAACAACAACAACAACAACAACAACAACAACAACAACAACAACAACAACAACAACAACAACAACAACAACAACAACAACAACAACAACAACAACAACAGCAACAACTGGGGCAAAATTATAGACTCTCGAGTACCCTGTGTCATCGGAACCGGACGATCGGGTAGAAGTAAGGAGGCAGCCTACGCCCTTCTGGGGACGGAGAGATCGGAGACCTGCTACACCAACCCAACCCAACTCAAATCCCTCCCTTTCTCTCTCTCACTCTCTTTCTCTCTCTCTCTCACACACACACACACAAGACAAAACTGCGCCTCAAAGCTTGCGTGCGATGAGAGTCTAGTCTTTCAAAAAGGTGAGAGAGGTTGAATTTTGATAAAGGTCACACAGACCAATTGATGAGAATGTTCTCAATAAGTGGGGGTCAGTTTCAGTGCTTACCCTTACCCCATGTGCTCACGTCACATTATCATTTCTTGGCAAGCAACAGAAATCACGGAGGCCTCCTTTGCGCACGGGTCAGTTGTGGGCTGTGCGTTTTGGTGTAACTTGTTGGTACAAAGTTGGTGAATAGGATGAACGGGGAAATGGGGAAAGTCGATTGGAATTTGTTGAACAGCGTGTGGCCGTTTTGAAGAGCGTTTTACCGAGGGATTTTGCCTGCCGGTGATTCGCTTCTCGGACTGTGAAGAGGAAAGGAAAGCGAGGCGCGAAGGGAAAACGCGATAGGATGGATGTCTTGTCGAGATTGGGCCTCATCAAACGGTTGATGGGGTGACGTTGGATGATACCTGCATTATGTAAAAAGTGAAATGGAAATGGGAAGTTTGGGGATCCTTCCTGGGGGGGCGTCCTTCTTGCTGTTGACGGTATTGTAAGATCTTGGAAGGAGGGTTGTAAGAGTTTCAAAGACAATTGTCGATCTCTTTTGAAGATGGCAATTGCGTCAAGACACAATCGTCGTGCTAGGATCATGACGCAACCAGAAACGTCCAAAAAGCCAGGGTGTTCGCTTATCGATAGCCTGGGCAAGGCAGACCCCTGAAGGCATTTCTCCACGTTTCTCCGCAGGCTAGACAGGGGCAGCTCAAGCTTTTGGAGCTAGGAGCTTGTTCTCAGCTGCCCTGGTTACGTCGTTGATGCTGTGCCCAGTTTGTGTTGTCTTGGAGGAGGCCGTTGAGGTTGCCAATTTGTTGGCAAGAGTTTTTGGTATAACTTGCCAGGCGGTGAATCACTCAGTTGAGCAAGGTAGGTCCGACTAACTGTAGTGGAAACAACATCCCATCTATACTCAGCATCAAAAGTTTCAAATCGGGCGGCTACACTCGAGGCCCGCATCGGCACAGCAGGCGTTGAACGGCACGGACCAAGATCAAGAAGTTGGTACCAAAATAATTCTCAGGGGCACAACATACCGTACCTGTCTGTCGACGTCAACAGCAGAGCAGATTCCTCGTCTCTTCTCCAACATCGCGGGGTTATGTTACCAGCTTTCTTCCCGTCGTTCGTTCTCCAGCACAGCAAAGCAAAATCCACATCGGAGCTTCCCACTACGCAATAAACTTCTTCACAGCCACGCTTGGCAGAGGACTCGATTCGTTCGTCAAACCGCAGACCGCTCCGACTCCGAAAAAGACGTTGCCATCCGAGAGTCTAGGGACAGTCCAGGCACCTGCGGGAAACAGAGACAAGTGTGGTAGTGTGGTAGTGTGGTAGAAACGTGTGACGTGGTACGTTCCTTTTCCCTTTTGCTGTCTGTCCAAGAAGGGACATTCGTAATGTTGATTCGGGATATTGGAATTCCTCGATGTCGGGCGGTGGGCGGTGGGCGGTGGGCGGTGGTTGACAAAGGGGACCACCTGCTTGGGGCAAGCTGCAGGTTGCAAACTAACGCAGGGCAAAACGGAGTGGTGTTTTGACAAGTGGTGGAAAGTTGGGATGGCATTGGACTGACGGTTGGTTTCCAGGGACGCAACACACAGAGAGAGATTCTCATACCTCGAGATCGCTGTTCTTGGGTGCGTTTGGCGGTTCAGCAGACAGCGTTTGGCCGGGCGGAGACTTTGTCTTTGTATCCCGGACCGGCTTAGGGGCAACCCCACCTTTGTTCCAGCGGTCCCAGCCAGTCCCAGTCTGCCGTTCGCCCCATTTTCGCTGCCGAGTCCAGGGCCCCCCAACTGTTCCCGATTCCCCCTGGTGACTGCGACGTGAAAACGCTCTCGCGCCGCCATCCATCATGTCCTGTAAGTACATACATCTTGCCAAGTCACCCCTACCTTTTATCATCCTTCACACCACTCCCGTCTGTCTTCTTGGGCAGCTATGAACCGCTCCCTTTCTCGACTGTGACACCCGACCACTCACTCCCCTACATACCTACCTTACCTTACCTTACCTTACCTTACCTACCTTCATCCTCCTGGAGAGGTAATTTGTCTTCTTGTCAGCTCTCTCTCCTACCGCTACTGTGCGCGCATCGCCATGAGAGTCAGTGACCGCGGCGACACCAGACAGCAGCATCTCACTCTCCAATCTCACCCATCATCATGGGCAAGGGCTTGATCAATTACTTATCAAGCTTGACAGTTCACGTTCAAACCCGCCAGATCTTGCGCCGAGTAACCACCGGCAAAGCACCTCACGAAACAGGCTCGCCCAGCATGGATGACGAGGAGAGCCCCCTCTTGGGCCATAGGATCGCTAATGGCGGCTCCGAAGCCAACTTTTGGAAACACCTTCTTCTTGATCGCACCAGCAGCCCTGGAACCAAGAGTCCCAACGCTCTGGTCCGGCTGCCGGCGCATTTCTTCAATGTCTTCAAGATCACATTGCTCAGCTGTAAGCACCTACCTAGCTTGACGTTGAGCCATATCATGGAGGTTATCTAACAGCGGCACACCAGCTTGGATAAACGTTCTCCTTATTTTTGTTCCCTTTGGGCTCATCGCCGGCACGTACGAGTGGAACCCAACATTGGTCTTCACCCTCAACTTCTTCGCCATCATCCCCCTCGCCGCCATCCTCTCCTTTGCGACGGAGGAGATTGCTGCTCGGCTTGGCGAGACTCTCGGTGGCTTGGTCAACGCCACGTTGGGCAATGCCGTCGAACTTATTGTATGTCCTCTCAGCACTATGCTGTTCATCCAGCCGGCTCGTGCTGACGTCTGAACAGGTCAGTATCGTGGCCTTGAGGGCCAACCAGGTGGAAATCGTCCAGGCCTCCATGCTGGGCTCAATCCTCTCGAACCTCTTGCTTGTCCTGGGCATGTGCTTCTTCCTCGGGGGCCTCACCAACATGCGCGACGCCGACGGAAACGCGATTGAGCAGAGCTTCTCTGCGGGCACGGCCCAGACGACATGCTCTCTCATGACGCTTGCATCGGCAACCATGATTCTGCCGGCCGCTCTGTACGGCGTCCTGGACAGCGGCTCGGACAAGGAGGAGGTGGCCCTGCTTCTTTCTCGCTGCTCGTCGGTCGTTTTGCTCTTTCTCTACGTCATGTACCTGATCTTCTCTCTCCGTTCACATAAGCGCCTGTTCGAGTCCGAGGCTGGACCCAACGCTGGAGAGGAGGAGGAGCACGACCCGCTCCTTGGCCCCTGGTCGGCTGGTATCGTGCTGTTGCTCACCACCCTGGTCATCAGCTTTTGCGCCGACCACATGGTCAACAGCATCGACGCCGTGGCCGAAAGCGGTGCCCTCAACAAGACCTTTATCGGCTTGATTCTCATCCCGATTGTCGGCAACGCGGCGGAGCATGTTACTGCCTGTGTGGTGGCTGTGAAGAACAAGATGGATCTGGCCATGGGTGTTGCGATTGGGTCTAGCATCCAGATTTCGCTGCTGGTGACTCCGTCGTTGGTTCTGCTGGGCTGGGCGATAGGTGTGCCCATGACACTCAGATTCGAGACATTCCAGACGGTGGCTTTTGCTGTGTCGGTGCTCGTGGTGACATACACGGTGCAGGACGGCAAGTCAAACTACCTGGAGGGAGCCATGTTGCTGGGGCTTTACATGATTATTGCCTTGGCTTTCTGGGCGAGTGGGTAAACTCGACGTGACGCGCACTGAGATCTGGACACGGAGTGTCACAACCGACCCTTGGCAGAGTTTTTGGGGAACGAAGCACAAACACACCACGAGGAACTCCCACGAAAAAGAACACCACACCATATCCACGTGGATACACAACATATGATGGACATCACGTTGGTGATGGAACCACATCGAAGGACCAATACCCACACTGTTGGGAACGATTATCAACAATTACATTTAACATACCTCAAGTCCCGACGGACATGTCTCCTTTTTTTGTTTTTTTTTTGTTTTTTTTCCCCCCTCGGTATCTTCTCTGGAGGCGGTGGCCTTTGACTGTTTGGTCGAAAAGATTATTTTGTTTTTACGTTTTTGTGTATATCATTTGAGCGCTCTGGCGACTGTTCGGCCTACCTATTCATACGTTTTAGCTACGAAGGGGAGGGGTGAGCACGGACAACCAAGAACAATTTGTACGATAGGCGGCAGAGGTGGATGAGAGGAGTGGGTGGTTATCTATTATGCTTGTCTTTTTTTTTTCTTGTGGCTTTTTTTGGTGCCTAGGGGCGTGTTTCGAGTATTTTCGTTTGTGTTTTGTTTTCGTTAGGTTAGTCTGGGGTCCGAAAAGAGGGTGAACGAGAGGAGTGAGAGAAATACAAGGAGTAAACTCATGTGTGTGTCTTGACTGAGGTTGCTGTTTGTGACAGGGAGTTGTATGAAGAATCAAAAGTGCTGCTTGGCCGGTTTATGCTGTCTGAATGATACCAAGTAGGATTGTCTTACATTATCCATACCCATTTTAGTCACGTATACTTATTATCTATCTATACAATATCAACACACACACTCCCACCCATCACCGCTCACTCCTCCCCCTTCCACTTCCAGGCCGCATTCCGATGCAGGAAATAATCCTTGCTCTGAATACTCTTCCAAATACCATAAAACCCCCCCAGCGGCACCTGCCTCTTGAGCCAGTGCCTCTTCTTGTTCCCGGCTGCCTCGGGGTCAACGTGGACCTTGTCCCAGACGCTCGGCAGGTGGCCGGCATTGTACTTTTCCCTCAGCTCGTCATACCACCCCCTGCCGTTGTACATGTCCCAAAACTCGTCCTGGGCGTAATACGTGTGCGCATACAGCCACTTCATGCCCCCCAGCTCCCTGACTTTTGCCTCCAACTCCCTGTTCTTTTCGACAAACCTTGCCGGTTCGTCCGGCCCCCATCCCCAAACGCCCACATTGAGCATCATGTCTTCTTCTTCCCTGACGACCCCCTCCGGAACAGTGGTAAAAGGGTGAAACGTCGGCGGAGCCCTCCGCCTGAGCGGACACAGCCAAAGAGGCCAGATGTTCAGCGACTCGGCAGTGTAATCCACAAACGCCTCGGTGGTCTCGAACGGCATGGCGACATCCTGCACAACAAACCTCGCGCTCTCGCCCGACCCGTGCAACGCGCGGTACATCATCCTGGTGTGCAAAAAGTCATCCAGAAACCAGCGGGAGAACCGGGTAAAGGGGACGAATTTGAAGTACTCAAAGGCCGCGGCGCCAACCCAGAAGCCGCCGCGGTCGTACCGGAAGAGGTATTCCGCCAGGGGGATGTACTCCTCGGACTGTTGTTGGTTCTGAGCGTGGAGGTAAAACCACTGGTCCCACGCGCGGGAAAACGTCCGTGGTTCTGCCGCCCGGGGCTTGACATCGGTGAGCTCGCCCGTGACGACCACGCCGTGGTCCCTGCTGAAGAGGATGCCGTCCACGAAGTCGTTGTCGTCGTTCCTGACCTCCCGCCTGATCACCTCGACCGCCTCGGCCACGCTCCTGGCACGGTGGTATCTCGTCTTGACAAACTTTTTCGCGTCCATCAGCCGAATCTCCAGACACGTCGTGACCCCCAGCGTGCCCACCGCACCGGCCGCTCCGCGGAACAAGTCCCCTTTTTCTTCGTCGTCAGGTCCGAACCGTACGATCTTCCCGTCTCCGAGAACCATCTCCACTTGTCTGACCGTGTCGTCGAAGAAGCCGTGCTTGAAGCTGGAGGATTCCCCTGCTGTGCCCGCGAATCCGCCGCCGGCGGTGATGCCTGGGAACTCCATCACTACCGGGGGGATCAGGCCGTGGGGGAGGGTAGCTTCGACCAGCTTGTCCATTGGGACGTTTGGTTCCACGAGGGCGGTTTTGGTTGCTTTGTTGACGGATAAGACGTTGTTCAGGCTGGAGATGTCGACTGTTGCTGTGCCGGAGGAAGGGCGTGGGCGGGTGGAGTTTGTTGAGCCGTGGTTGATGCGGTAAGGGGTGCGGGTTTGGTGGAGGGTGGTGAGGGTTTTGGAGAGGGAGTGGAGGGTCCAGCTGGCGGTGCTCGGCATAGACCC